CTGGAAGGATGTTTTAAACAAAATTTATGAAGTCCCTAGTATGACACATAGTAACACTTGAGAAATGTAAGCTGAAGATATGTAATACATAAAAAAAGACCATAAATGTGTAAACAGATTTCAATATATGTGGTTTAGACAAGACAAGTACTAGGTGTTAAAAGGTAGTAACCAATAAAATCGTGAGTCTCATACCAATATAAAATAATGCACATCAAAGATTTTTATTTAAGTCATTCATTAATAAGAGAACAGTAAGAGGTGCCTGGGTGGCTCAGGTCATGATCCCAGGGTCCTGGGATCAAGACCCACATGAGGCTCCCTGCTCTGTGGGGAGCCTGCTTCTCCCTCTGCTTCTGCCCCTCTCCACTGCTCGTGCTCTCTCTTTCTCTCAAATAAACAAGTAAAATCTTAAAAAAAAAAAAAAGAGAGACCTAGTAAGGTAAAAATCTTTAAAAAAAAAAGAGAGACCTAGTAAGGTATTGTAACTAGTTTGAAGAAGAATCCAAAGAACAGACAAGTGAATGGGTGATCGTTGTTAAGATGAATTTGTGGATAAATATAAAGCTGACCTCTTCCACAGGGCAGAAATTAGTTTCATCTCCACCAGACAAAATTCCTGTGCATCTCTGTGGACAAAAATCATTTGCTGCTATCAATCTTCTATTGAATTAGAAAAAAAAGACAAGGAAAGAAAGTAACTTTATGGTATCAGATCACCAGAAGGAGCCCCTAGACACCATCCTTGGAAAGAATCCTTTTGTCTCTTTCCAAAATTTCCCTAGTTTCCCTTGATTTAAGGAAGTATGCAACTAATTATTCTGAAAATGACTGAAGGGTGCCCGGGTGGCTCAGTCAGTTAGGTGTCCAACTCTTGATTTCAGCTCAGGTCATGATCTCAAGGTCATGAGACTGAAACCTGGGTTAGGTTCTATGCTGGGCAAGGAGCCTGCTTAAGATTCTCTCTGTTTCTTTTTCTACCCCTTCTCCTCCACCCTGTTCTCTCTCTCTAAAAAAATAAAAATTAAAAATAGAAAAATTTTTTAAAATTATTGAAATTACGGCATTGAAGGGATCTGTGACAGAACTTAAGCCTCAACACTTAGCAGTTTTGTGGAACAATCACTTCTCCTCTTTGAGCTTCAGTGAGCTTTTCTGTAAAATGAGGATAACAGTATCTAGCTCATGGGATCTCTTATTAAGGTGAAACATGTCCAAAGCTCCTGACACAGTGTGTGACTCACAGTAGACACACAATAATCAGTAACTATTCCTGGGCTAATTATAATTAGCTGAGCCAACCAAAGAATAATTGCTCAGTTTTGCTTCTACCACACGGAGTCAATCTAGGTAGAAGTTACATACAGCATTTGGGAGAGCCCTGGGGAAGGCAAGCATGTGGCTCCCACAAGGGACACTGAAAACATCAGCTTGGTAACAGAAGGGAGATGATAGAGAATGCTGAGAAATAATGCAGGTGTTGGTAACATCCAGCTCTGAAGGGGCTTTGGAATCCAGACACAAGTTTTGGCTCTGTTGATAAGCAGCCAATTCAGCATCATCTGGAATGCAGTTCCCTGGGCCTCACCCCAGAACTAATGACTTAATAGCTGGCTGTTGAGATTGTTTATTTTATCAGTTTACCCAGATGTTGCTTGAGCACACAGAGCTTTTAAGTCACTGGTGCAGATAAAGGACGTAAGACTTTTTTCTGGAGTCATATTCTTGAAATTTGGGAGTAAAGTAAAATGAGGGGCCTTCCAGCCAGTGTACAGGATAACTTTCTGGATGAAAAAATGAGGTGAGCCTGAAGGCAGAGGGAACCGACAGGAACAGGTGTAACCCATCGCTCAGGTGATGAGGGACTTCACTAAGGTGGGAATTAAGGTGACTCCAAACATTATTACAGAGAGGTAGAATTTAATGACCAAGTGGGTAGGAGATTCAATATGGAGGACAGGCAGTGTTCAGAACTGACCTTCTGATTTTAAGTCCAGGTGAATAGAACAGAGATTCATTGACGCAAATGGAGAATTGAGAATGGTTGGTTTTATGGAAAGTTAAGCTCAGTTTGGAGCATGTTAATGGATGATGATACTTTTAAGTGGAAATTTACAGAAAATAATTGAAGGAAGGGGAGGGGTGGGGAGACTCCCAAGCTTGAGTGACAGGTCTTGGCTAGAACAATAGATGAAATTTTTAAGAAACATCCTCAGATAAGACTTCTCTGTTTCCCTTCCTCTTTAAAGTTTATTTAATTTTTTAAAAGATTTTCTTTATTTTAGAGAAAGACAGCACAAGTCAAGGGAGGAGCAGAGGCAGAAGGAGAAATAGGCTCCCTGGTGAGCAGGGAGCCCCATCCCAGGACCCTGGGATCATGACCTGAGTCAAAGGCAGCAGCTTAACCAACTGAGCCACCCAGGCACCCCTCCCTTCCTCTTTAACTTGTCAAAATGTATGTTTTTTCACACACCAAAGATTACATGAGTTAAATGCTAATCACTTGACAAACCTAAAACGACTGTTTAAAATTTAGGTATTATCCCACTTGTAAAAAAAAAGAAAAAGAAAGAAGAACAGCTGTATTTAGAGTTTATTTCAAAGGTCAAAATATATGGCATAGATGATAAAGAGAACATGTTTAGTTATCTTCCTCTTTCTAAACAAGATGTAAAGTCCTTCAGATTTGGGAAGATGGTTAGAAACTCATTTGTATACCCCAGTGAGGTTTTTGGTAAATGCTTAGTTGTTGTACTAAATTTTAAAATGATTCTTGGGGATATCTAACAATGTACAGCATCCCCCTATCCCTGCAGTTAAGCCTGTTTCTGGTAAATACCATGGGTTCAATTCCCAACTGTGCTACAACCCTTTGAGAGGCTAATTAAGAAACTTGGCTCATATGGGAATTGTTGTCTGAAAATTAAAAGTTAGCATGTGCTCCAAGTCTCAGACTCACTTGGCCCCCTGGGAAACTTCCAAGTCCTAGATAGGTCCTCAACCCAAATTGTCGATTCCAAACTACTCTCTCGGTTACAGAAGAATCACAAAAGGGCACACAAGGAGGCTTTTCCTGCTCTTCGAAGATACACATACTTCTAACACAATAAAGCTGTTTTATTTTTTTTTTAAAGATTTTTAAGTAAAGCTGTTTTTAAAAAGCACCTTTGATTCCAAGTGTTTTAATTTGTGTCTTGATCCTACTTTTAGCAAAAAAGAAAAACTGTACTATAATCATTTAGTATGTACAATAATCAAAATGTTTTATTGATCACTTTGTCAATAAAAAGATGAGCAAGTTCCCAGTGAAAATAACTTCCTTAATGTGCTTCGAAACTCCAGGCAGTGTCCATATTTGAACAAGGATTAGAATTTATATACATTTTTATTATTGCCTGGTATTTGGCAGAATGTATTTTCATACAATGTCTTGTAGAGAGCAATAAAACACATTCTGTAAGGAATTTCATTGTATATGAAATATTTATTGAGTCTAAATGAATACCTTCTTTGCATTTCTAAACTTGAATTTATGCTTATGTTGTTATAAAAGTCACACTGTTTAGAGTAAGTTTATATTTTTTTCCTGTCCTTAACAGTCTATATTTGTGTCAATTAATTTAATAATAAAGTTGCTTTGTATACCTATTTTTTTTGTGCTTGTAGTGTGTAGAAAATCAAAGCAGATTCAAATGTACTTTCTATTAATGCTTTATATACTTAAATTTTGGATTGTATCATATGTGCAAAAAATACATAAATACATTCATTTATTCATTTGACAATTCCTTAATGAGCATCTCTTATGCTCCAGACACTTCTAAGTGCCAAATATACAGCAGGAAATATAGCATTATGTACTGCAGAATTTGCCCTTTATCTAATTATAATGGTCCTCTCCCCTCAAATAGTAATTTGATCCAAAATTTGTTGCAATTCAACCTACAGTGTGCTCCTAAGAAGCAGAGGTCATAAGAAGAAATCTCTTACAGAAGTGAATTTAGAATTCACATTTTTTTTTTCTTATTAATTCAGTATTTATTTGTCTTCCCTCTGTCAAACCCTGAGCCAACTACTTTCCCCAGGCTGCCTGGGGAGGTATAGGAAAAGTATTATACAGGGCAGACGAGACACGGGAGAAAGACCTATGGGAGGTGGAGACGGTTCCTTCACATGGTGAAGAGGATGAGAAAGGCCACCATCAAGCAAAAGAGCCCATGGCCTCCGAGAGGGCAAAGCCCAGAATGGCGTAGGAGAAGAGCTGTTGCTTCAGAGAGGGATTCCTGGCATAACCAATGATGAGGCTCCCAAACACAGTCCCAATTCCAGCCCCAGAGCCAGCCACCCCTACTGTGGCAGCCCCAGCCCCAATGAACTTGGCTGCTGTATCGATGTCCCTTGAAATGGCACTGGTTTGGAAGCTTCGGCTAGGAATAAGTGAGGTCAGGGGACGTGGGGCTGCCAAGATGCTGAGGCCCTTATAAGGAGCCTCATCTGTCAGTGTCTCGGGTGGTTTTAGCACCACTGCAGACAGTGATCGGCTCAACAGCTGAGAGGTGCTCCTGACCAAGAACGGGGTGGAGACGAACTTTGCACAGGCGTACATTTTCAGGGAATGAGGGGCTGCAGCAGGAGAGCTGCAGCAGGAGAGCTGCTCCCAGGGCCGAGGAGACAGAGAGCTAGAATTCACATTTTAATTGATTCCTGCTAGTCTTCAGTAATACGAACACCTCTGCTTTCAGGTGTAGGATTTTACTTTCTAGGAAGTTCACATCATGAGCAAACTCCGTGTTTGTTTACTTCAGTCAGTTCATTCATTTGATCCATGAGCAAAGGCCGATGCAGTATGATTGGTGAGAAATGTTTGAGTCTGATCATTTTAACTACAAATATGTTATAATTTATGTCTTTAGAAATATAAGATAGTTTACCTTTTTTTTTTTTAATTCTGCATCCTTTAATGAGAGGTCTTTATCTTTTATCTGTTCACTTTTTTCCAGGTTTTAGGGACAAAGCCGGAGCTTCCGGATGGAAACGATGATGATGACACCGTAGCAGACATAACGAACAGGAAAATGGCTAAACTCTACATGGTGAGTTCACTGTTAGTGAGTTCTGTTGTTTTCACTAGACTGGATGCAGCTGGGAGACATGTTCTGGATGGGACTCTGCTACAGCTGATAATTCTCCTTGCTCTCAAAGAGAAGTGTGTCAGTAGAATCCATTCTTTCCTCTAGTATGTTTATTAAAATTCCTCTTTTTATTATTTTTAGTTATTTTTATTAAAAATGTCAAATCAGTGAAATTATTGCTACAACTTAAAATTATATGGTGTTGCCATGCTAGTTTGCAATAATAGATTTTGATATATGAAGTTCTTAAAATGTTTCCTTCATGGAATAAAAATACTCAGTAAGCTTTTTCTTATAAATTTTTTTTAAAGATTTTATTTATTTATTTGACACAGAGAGAGATAGAAAGAGAGAGAGACAGCAAGAGAGGGAATACAAGCAGAAGCAGTGGGAGAGGGAGAAGCAGGCTTTCTGCTGAGCAGAGAACCTGATACAGGGCTGGATCCCAGGACCATGGGATCATGACCTGTGCCAAAGGCAGACGCTTAACAACTGAGCCACCCAGGCACCCCAAAATTTTGATAAACTATAAAATCTTCATGTTATTTTAAATATCCTATTTAGTCATAATGAAGGCTTTCTTTGTTACAGGAGGGCAAAGCTATCAAATCAAACAGCTGGGAGGAAACAGGGTAAAAACGACTCTGTCCTGGGCATTGGATACCTAGTTCCATGTCACCTCTCTGGTGATGGCCCACCAGATGACCTTGGGCAAGATACGACCATGCTGGGTCTCAGTTTTTTTATCTGTAAAAAAGAGAGACAGATTCCTTTAGAAGATTATTCAGGTTCCTTAGAACTCCAGAATTTTATGATTTTATTGCTGGTGAAGGTAACAGAAGCCACAGATACACCAGTTGAGGAGAATAGTCAATGGAATCCCGCAAGAGTCCCATCCCCTTGTAACTTTCCAAGCGCATGATTTGGAGCAGATCATTAATCTCCCTGAAGAACTAAGTAGTCATCAGCCACTACAGGAAGGAGTTACATTTCCTGCTTTAAGACAACTTCGAACTCAGAAACTGATTTTAAATGAAGATCAAGTTATTAACTTGTGTCTAGTAAGTTTGTAAAGAGTAAGTGAATTATTTTCTTCTTAGATGGCAAGGGAAAAAATGTGGTCGTGACTTCTGCTAAGTACTGATGCTTTTAATAGAAACTACACAGAAATTGTTATTCTAAAGACTTCGAGGGGGTGTCTCGGTGGAACAGTTAGTTTAGCATGGACTCTTGGTTTTGGTTCAGGTCATGATCTCGGGGTCAAGGGATGGGCATGACTACCAGACTATAAGCTCAGTGCGGAGTCTGCTTGGGATCCTGTCTTCCCTTTCTTTCCACCCCCTCCCCCGACATGTGTTCTTGCTCTCTCTTCTTCTCTTTCTCAAATAAATAAATAAAATTTTAAAAATAAAGATTTCATGGCACCTTTTTTTTTTCACTACTGCTTCTAAAACCCACTTAAAGCTTAACAAATATCTTTTATGCCACATCATCAAATAAAACCATTCTCCCGGGGTGCCTGGGTGGCTCAGTGGGTTAAAGCCTCTGCCTTCAGCTCAGGTCATGATCCCGGGGTCCTGGGATCGAGCCCCACATCGGGCTTTCTGCTCAGTGGGGAGCCTGCTTCCTCCTCTCTCTCTCTCTGCTGCCTCTGCCTACTTGTGATCTCTCTCTGTCAAATAAATAAATAAAATCTTAAAAAAAAAGAAAAAAAACCATTCTCCCACTTGGACAGCGTTAGCAACTGAAGAAATGTTTTAAAATGGGAAGATGTTAATCCTGAATCATTCCTCCCTCTAGTGGATATAAAATGTATTGCATATATGTAAAACACCAAGTCTGTAAATAAACTTAATTGGGGTTGCAGAACACAGCTGGGAAACAGTCACCTATGCAACTTATAAAAAAACAGAATTCAAGCCCCAGCGTAATGCTGCACAGCTTGACCACTGATCTAGGGAAGGCCCCAGAATCCACATATTTATCAAGTTCCCGGGTGATTACCTTGCAGCCTACAAGATGGCCTTTGAAAAACAGGGAATTCTGAAGTGGGCATTAATATCACTTTCAGTTTTGCAATACCACCTCCACCTTTAAAAAAATTGTTCTTTTAAAAAATTTTTTTTATTTTTAGATTTTATTTATTTGAGACAGAGAGAGAGAGAGTGTGTGTGTGTGTGCACGCACACGAGGGAGCAGGAGAAGCAGACTCCCTGCTGGGTGGGGAGCCCCATGTGGCAATCCCAGGACCCCAAGATCATGACCTGAGCTGAAGGCAGATGTGTAACTGACTGAGCCCCTAAAAAAAGAAATGTTCTGTGGTTGTTTCCAAACTTTGAGAGTCTAAATAAATATTTGTGACAGAAGAAATTTACTTGGACAATTTACACAAAGTATACTTAAATTACAGGACCTAATCTGGAAATAGTCTCTATGCATAGACTGTAATGTGCCACTGTCTTCTTAGCATAGTGCTTGCCCTATGGTAGACACTCAATAAATGCTGAATGAATAAAGGTTTAAGCTTTTTTTTTTTTAATGTGGGTGCAGTGAGCCTTAGATTATTACCTAGTTGGAAAGATTGCTATAAAAATTAGTAACTAATCGTGTAAAGTTCATCGACTGGTGCCTATTATTTGGAAATCTCAACAAATCTTAGCCATTACTATTACCATTATTATTTTCTGGTTCTTTAGGTCCAATGTTGAAACTTAACTTTCTGTTAATGGTTTTTTTACCCCAAAAGAATTTTTTTTAATTCTTATATAGTTAACATATAGTGTTATCTTAGTTTCTGGTGTACAATACAGTGTTTCAACAATTCTATACATCACTCAGTGCTCATCATGATAAATGTACTTTTAAACCCCTTCATATATTTCACCCATCCCCCCACCCATCTCCCCTCTGGTAACCATCAGTTTGTTCTCTATAGTTAAGAGTCTGTTTCTTGGTTTCTTTCTCCTTCCTTTGTGCATTTGTTTTTTTTTTTTTTAATTCCACATATGGGTAAAATCATATGGTGTTTGTCTTTCTCCGACTTATTTCACTTAACAGTATACTCTCTAGATCTATCTATGTTGCTGCAAATGGCAAAACGTCGTTCTTTTTTATGGCTGAGTAATATTCCATTGTTTATATACACACCGTATCTTCTTTATACATTCATCAGTCAATGGACAATTGGGCTGTTTCCATAATTTGGCTATTGTAGATGATGCTGCTGTAAACATAGAAATGCATCTGTCCCTCTGAATTAGTGTTTTGCATTTTGGGGGTAAATATCCAGTAATGGAATTGTTGGATCATATGGTAGTTCTATTTTTAATTTTTTGAAGAACCTCCATACTGTTTTCTGCTGTGGTTGCACCAGTTTGCATTCCCACCAACAGTGCATCAGGGTTTCTTTTTCTCCTCATTCTTGCCAACACTTGTTTTTTCTTGTGTTCTTGATTGCAGCCAATCTGACAGGCTTAAGTGATATCACATTATGGTTTTGATTTTTTTAAAAGATTCTATTTATTCACTTGACAGACAGAAATCACAAGTAGGCAGAGAGGGAGGCAGAGAGAGAGGGGGAAGCAGGCTGCCTGCTGTGCAGAGAGCCCGATGTGGGGCTTGATCCCAGGACCCTGAGACCATGACCTGAGCTGAAGGCGGAGGCTTTAACCTACTGAGCCACCCAGGTGCCCCTATGGTTTTGATTTTTAATTCCCTGATGATAAATGTTGATGAGCATCTTTTCATGTGTCTGTTGTCCATCTGTATGTCTTCTTTGGAGGAGTGTCTGTTCATGTCTTATGCCCATTTTTAATTGGACCATTGGGGTTTTTTTGCTGCTGAGTTATGTAGGTTCTTTATATATTTGGGATACTAACCCTTTGTCAGATATGTCATTCAAAAGTATCTTCTCCCATTCCGTGGATTGTCTTTTAGTTTTGTTGATTGTCCAAAGGACCTTTAAGAAGCCTTTTAGGGAGACACCTGGGGGGCCCAGTGGGTTAAAGCCTCTGCCTTCAGGGTCCTGGGATCAAGCCCCACATCGGGCTCTCTGGTCAGCAGGACACCTCCTTCTCCCTCTCTCTCTCTGCCTGCCTCTCTGTCTACTTGTGATCTCTGTCGGTTAAATAAATAAATAAAATCTTTAAAAAAAATTTTTAAGATAAATAAAAAGCCTTTTAGGTATGGTGCCTGGATGGCACAGTCATTAAGTGCCTGCCTTCAGCTCAGGTCATGATCCCAGAGTCCTGGAATTGAGTCCCATATCAGGCTGCCTGCTCAGTGGGGAGTCTGCTTCTCTCTCTCCTACTTCCCCTGCTTGTGTCCCCTCTCGTGCTCTCTCACTCCCTCTCTGTCAAAGAAACAAATAAAATCTTTAAAAAAATTTTTAAAAATTAAAAAAGCCTTTTAGGGTATAATTTGGCTCATTGATTTTTGTTGTTGCTGTTTTTTTTAATAGCTTTGTTGAGATATAATTTACATACCATATCCATTAAAAGTATGCAATTCAATGGTTGTTATTATAATTACAGAGTTGTGCAACATCACCATGATGTAATTTTAGAACATTTTTATTATCTGCAAACAAGCTCGTGGTTTTTATATTAGGTTTCAGATGCCAGTGGATCCATGAGAGTGACTGTGGTTGCAGAAGAGAACCCTTTCTCCATGGCGATGCTGCTTTCTGAAGAATGCTTTATTTTGGACCATGGTTCTGCAAAACAGATTTTCGTATGGAAGGGTAAGAAATGCCATTGACATAGTAGCTGCACTGCAGACTTAATGGCTATCTCTTTGAAAAGGTAAAGAAAACTTTTCTGATTTAAAAAAGAAAGCCTATCATTTTGAGACTTGATCTGTAAATAGCTCATATAAAATGCAGATATCAAAACTGTGTTTTCTTCCTACTAGTATCATTTGCCAAGAATGATAGGGTTAAAGATGGCATTGGACAATATAAAAAGAATCTTTTACATATAATGGCAATCATTAGGATACTACAAAATATATTTAACATACCAGGACAGTTTTACCATGCTCAGTGTCATATTTAAATTAAAATTATAATCATGTTTATCTCTTGGGGTGTGCAAATGTTTCATAATCATATAATGTTTTCCCTCTCTGATATTCTGTCCTTTTCATTTATCTTCCATTTAGGTAAAGACGCTAATCCCCAGGAGAGAAAAGCTGCAATGAACACAGCTGAAGAATTCCTAAAGCAAATGAATTATTCCAGCAATACCCAAGTAAGTGTGTGTGGAAATGAGCTGGCTAGAAAAAAAAAAATTAAAATGTGGGAGCTCATCCTGTCTCCACAAAACTTGTGTGAGCATTTGGATCAAAGTACCCTATGTGTGGAAGTTATTCTTCCCTTGTGTGTGTGCCACACTGTGTCCCATGTCCCTAGAACCATAGTTTTGTGGAGGATGGAATTTTGCAGAAACTGGAGATCAGACCTTCCATGGGGCTGCATTATGAAAAAAGACCCCTCTGCTTCCTCCACGGCGTTTCAGTCGAGATGACCAACCACAGTTGAATGCACTGAGAGTACTTTTCAGTTAGTCCTTAGAGCAGGTTGTGCAGACCTGGGCTAGTAGCCAGATAATCTTTGGCTTCACTGACATCAGCTTAGACACCTGATTAGTTACTCTTCCTTTTCTGAGTCTTTCAGTCTCATCCTTTGTCTTCAGTTTTATGTCCTCACACAAGGAACACAATGAGATCATTTCTTCCAGGTTACAGATCTCTTATAAACCTAATGCAGAATAAGAGTCACACATATTTGACTGTAATGGTAACATGACAGAGCTCTGTTCTTACTTCAAGCATCCAAATTCAGTGGCAATCACTTTAGTAGTGACAAAAAGCAGAGGTGGATTGTTTCATCTTCATATCTGATAATCTTCCATTTTACATTCACTCACAGATCCCAGCTTCTAGGTTTACATCTGTCATCACAGAAACCAGGACAGTTTTTTCTTGAGTTTTTTCCTCCACTCCTAGATTAATGTCTTTCCTCCGTCTATTTTCTTTTTTAGAATAATTATCATTGTTTTAAATTTTAGATTCACGTTCTTCCAGAAGGAGGGGAAACACCAATCTTCAAACAGTTCTTTAAGGACTGGAGAGAGAAAGATCAGAGTGATGGCTTCGGGAAAGTCTATGTCACTGAGAAAGTGGCTCAAATAAAACAAATTCCATTTGATGCCTCAAAACTACACACTTCTCCACACATGGCTGCCCAGCACAATATGGTGGATGATGGTTCTGGCAAAGTGGAGGTAATTGGCTGCTTTTGTTTGTGTCTGTTTGTTTTCATCAAGACCATTTATGCCAGTATTCCTGGACATGTAACTTCAGAAGACTACAAACTTTGTCATTTTACTTTACTTATTAATAAAGGTGGTCCATGACTGTATATTAAATCAGGGAATTTAAAGTTGGAAGAGACAGTTTCTGACCTTCAATCCTATTTTACAATGTGTGTGTTGAGATTCCAAGAAGTTAGGCTATCTGTGCAAGATCACCTCATTACTATTAGACATGCTGTGGAACCCAGCCATCTTGTTTCCTGGTCCAGAATTGCTCCCACTCCTGGAACTGGGATTCTCCAGTGAGGGCAAGTAGCTCTGAATGTACCAGCGACCATTAGTTAGACCTTTCCTTGTACCTTATAGGCACTCACAAAAGCAAATTGGGTACGTGCTAAACTCACAGATATTTTTAGAGCATTCAAATTGTTTGTTGTTTATTCTCTTTTTCTGAAAAAAATTGCCCATAACCCCCTAATGAATATCCCTAATTCAACTCTCTTCATCCTCTACTCTTGAGTCGTCTAACTTAATGAGAACTGGGTAATGTTGTGTCTTATAAAATATTTTAACGGCTTTCCGTTTTCAGGGGGGCCTTCAAGGTCTTCCAGGATTTGATCCTTGCTCTTCTGGCTGCCTCACTCTACCACTGCCTGAAGGCTCTTCCCTCCTCCCTCTGGCTGAAGTCTCCATTCCTTTTCCTGTGGAATTCAGTTCAGTCACAAGCTGAAGCTCTTTGAGAAGCCTTCCCTCTGTCCTGGAGCAGCCTTTGTGCTCAAACCATAAGTGATATTTCTCACAGAACCATCATCTAAGGATTGCAAAACAGTTTATTTTTCTTCCTGGCCCTCTCCTTAGTTCCTTGAGGGCTGGAATTGAATAGTTTATCCTTGTATTCCCAAGGCTTACTACAATGTTTGGAGCGAAGTATATGGGAAAGAAATTTAGGTAGTTTTGCCTCTTTTCAAAGACACGAAGGTGTACATCTCAGCTATCCGGGGGTTGCAAGAACTGCAAAGGGAGAAAGGCCCCACATGGCCATTGTCCAAGGGGCATCAGCTTGCTATCTGGGTCTGTCTCCTGCTCATATGCACTTTTCTGCAGCTCAGCACAGTAGGAGGGGCTCGTGGCAGATTTGGCTCCCCAGCACCAGGTCCCAGGGACAGTCTCTTGTGTTGACTCTGAGATGTCCTCCTGAGTAAACCCCGGACTTTGGAAATCTGGGGACTTTCTCTAGGCTTTTGGGTTTAGCCCTGGAGTGCTGTTGTTTCTTCCCTGCTCACCAGGATGTCATGCTTCTCTCTGAAAGCACCTCCACTCCTCCATCGCCAAATTTCAAGGGGAGGCGTGTATCCTCCCTGTCCCCTGGAGGGTGCGCATGCGCACCTTGCCTGGCAGGCTTTCATGTTGCTTTCCTGGTTCATCCACAGCTCTCATCTCTCCAACTTGGAGTGTCTTTAATCTGTGATGAGGCTGAGAAGCCAGAAAAAAAAAAGTTACTGCCTACGTTTATCTTTTCAGTCTTATGCCTAAATGGCACCTCTTGAAAATAGTCAAGCAATTGGCATCTTGATTATTTGGTCCCTATCTGCCACTCTTGCCTGAGGAAATAATCATGCTTTACTGTGCTGGGAAAAAAATTTTTTTAATAAACAAACAGGTTGTCTCCCAATGAATGAAATATTTTATGCAAGTTAAGAGATATATTTCTGAGCCGAATATTTTAGTTCCTTATTCCACCAGAGTCTTGTGTTATTTTCACTAATCAATCGAACAGTAGGTTTGTATTAATAGGCTCAGAACTGATGTAAGTACTCTGGAGGATGCAAAAAATATATGTATAAACACTTAAAAAATCAGTGAACCAATTGTCAAACTGATAAAATTTCTTCCTGTTGTTTAATTTGTAAGCTAGTTAGAAAAGTATTTAAAAGTTGTTTAACGATAGATCTAAAAAAAAAAACAAAAACAAAACTCCTGACAACTACTATTAGATCAAGACAATTTTAATTTTGGTATGGACTTTCCATTTCTTTCAGATATGGCGTGTAGAAAATAATGGTAGGATTGAAATTGACCAGAACTCCTATGGTGAATTCTATGGTGGTGACTGCTACATTATACTCTATACTTATCCCAGAGGACAGATCATCTACACCTGGTAAGTTCTCCTCTTTCTTAAAATCTCAAGTTTTAAGGTGGACAGATTTTACTCCAAAGTTACATTTCATCAAATTCCACAGGACGGGGCACCTGGGTGGTTCAGTGGATTAAAACATGTGCCTTCAGCTCAGGTCATGATCCCAGGGTCCTGGGATCGAACCCCGAGTCGGGCTCTCTGCTCAGTGGGGAGCCTGCATCCCCCTCCCTCTCTCTGCCTGCCTCTCTGCCTACTTGTGATCTCTGTCTGTCAAATAAATAAATAAAAAATCTTAAAAAAAAAAATTCCATGGGACAAGGGGTAGAATTATCCTATAGTTACCCCCGTGAGATTTGTATAGCATGCATGTGGTATTTTCTTTCAATATGATTTTTTACTCTGTTTTGTAGCTCTTCTCCACAAGCAGGAAGGGTTAGATAAAAATCATCCTTTCTATAGGCCCCTGGGTGACTCAGCTGGTTAAGCCTCCAACTCTTAATTTCAGCTCAATTCACAGTCTCAGGGTTGTGAGATCAAGTCCCCAGGTCGGGCTCCTAGCTCAGCGGGAAGCCTGCTGGAGGTTCTCTTTCTTCCTCTCCCTCCGCTCCTCCTCCCACTCATGCATGCTCTTACTCTCTCTCTCAGATAAGTAAATAAATTCTTTTAAAATCATCCTTTCTAGTGTAGGAACAAGATTTTGGTATCCAAATGTAGTGTTCTTTTAGTAGATATGCGGTTGAATATCTCACCTCCTGTGCAAGCTAATTCCAGCTTGCTAGTACTGACTACCATGTGTTCTTATTATTAAAATTCACTGAGGTCCTTTGTAATTGGAGCTGCAAAGTGGCAGTGAGGCAAACCCTCTGGGGGATAGATATCATTTATGGTTCTGTTTCATACCCCAGGGACCTCAAATTGATGCATTTTTACTCTTGGTCCCCATGAAATTTGTGGCAATAAAGGAGAAAAAAATGCCAGCACACCCACGTCTTATGTGGTTTTGCATAATAATTTGAGTTAATTGAAGGTTAAGTTTACTTAGAGTCCAGTGCCAGGGCTCTGATCAGTGGGAAATGTCCAATTGGGTAAGTTAAGTATACATACCATGCTGGGCTGTTCCAAAGGGATGGGGATTCTGTAACAAATCATATAGTGTCAGATTCTCCAACTTTTTATTAAGTGAAATCAGGGTGGAAGGTACAGGGGTGAAGCAGGATACTACTTTTGCCTACATGGTGATGTCAACATTCAGTGGGTGTATTGAGTGTACATGGACACGGGTCTCTGTCGATATGGAGACATTTCTCTGTGGTGAGGGTCCTGCCAGATGAGAGTCACCTCCATCTGGACAGTGTAACCACTTACCACTTACCCTGACCGGTGCCTTGAGGCCAGCCAAGTTCAGGAGATGGGATGATTATCTTTATCCTATAGGCTCTCGGTGTCCAAAGGATGGTCTGGGAACCAGAAACATCAGCATTGCCTGGAAGCTGGTTAAAAATGTACAATGTGGGTTGCCTGGGTGGCTCAGTGGGTTAAGCCTCTGTCTTCGGCTCAGGTCATGATCTCAGGGTCCTGGGATCAAGTCCTGCATCGGGCTCTCTGCTCAGCGGGGAGCCTGCTTCCCCATCTCTCTCTGCCTGCCTCTCTGCCTACTTGTAATGTCTGTCAAATAAATAAATAAAATCTTTAAGAAAAAAAAAAAAAAGAAATGTACAATTCCAGGACCCACCTTTGGCCCACTAAAGCAGAACATGCAATTGAACAAGATCCCCAGATGATCCACGTGCACTCTCCTGATTAACAGGTCCTGCATCACCTTAGGCAACGGTTCTCATCACATCCTGTCAATCATTAATGTATTTAGCTACTTGACTCTGTGTTTATGATGTCATCTTCATAGCAACCATTTTTTTGAGCAGCATGTTTGTACCAGCAAAGTGCTGGGTGTTTCCATTATTATGTTTCTTCCTCACAACCAGGTTATTTTTGAAAGACAGAAAGGGAGGGGAGTAACTTAAGATGAAGTAACTTAACCCAAATTCACAACTGTTGTATCTGGTGAAGGAGCATTTCACACTTTGATAAACAGCTCTCTTTAAGTCTAAAGTTGAGCGCCCCTATACCCTGGTGTAAGCTCTGTCCTCCTTTTGCAATTCCTTCTTCCAAAATATTAGCTCAGAAAAGTGTTTCTGGAAAACATGGCCTTTACAGGGATAAATCGGTTGTTCTCAGTCAGCTTTTCTTTTACATTCTGTTTCTTGGTCTTTCTCTCCACTCTCTTTTGCATATAAAAAATCTAATTGATTGTGGCACTTAGCTCAGACAAGAGAGAGGAAACAAGTAGCTCAAGAGCACATTTTGAAAAATTGATAATTCACCATCTATGTAAACAACTATGTGACTGTAACGAAGACAGACTAAATTGGATAATAAATGTTAAATGCAGTTACTTTTTCTCAACTCATTTGAAAGTATTCACCGAGCACTTTCTATGCGCCAAGCACTGTGCTAGATAGATACTAAAGATACTGTGGTGAAAAAAAAAAATCACCCGTGTCCCAAGATTTGATACTTTATTTTTTTTTAAGATTTTATTTATTTATTTGACAGTCAGAGATTACAGGTAGTCAGAGAGGCAGGCAGAGAGAGAGGAAGGGAAGCAGGCTCCTTGCTGAGCAGAGAGCCCAATGTAGGGCTCAATCCCAGGACCCTGAGATCATGACCTGAGCCAAAGGCAGAGGCTTAACCCACTGAGCCACCCAGGAGCCCCAAGATTCGATACTTTAAAAAGAAGCAGGTGATTAACAGGCATTTCAATGAAGTATGAAGGATTTTAAGATAAAACCAGGCTCAATCTTTGAGGAATTCTAGATGAGACACCAAGCCCACCCATAGGTCTCCTGGAAGTGACATCTAACTGGGAACAGAGGAGCAGGTAGGCAGGCAAGCAAATAGAGAAGTTGTATTAAGCAACGCAGAGAACGTGTGCTCTAATTTACTAGTAACGACTTATGGCTGGAGCAAAGTTAGGGAGCAAAAGATAAAATCAGAGAAATCAGAAGGAGCCAACCTGTGAACAGCCTTGGAACCATCCTAGGGAGGATGAACTTTATTTTCAGGGCCTTGGGAACCAGTCAAAGAGTTAGCTCTGGGAGCAATATGATTGGCTTTCCTCTTACAGAAATTATTTTTGGTTGACATCTCTGAGAATGGGCTGATGGGAGAAGGTCGGTGGCAGGGAAGCCACTGGGAATGTGTTGCAGTAATTCAGCCAAGGGATAATGTGGCCAGAACTCAGTGTTAGAGCAACAGGGAGGGAGCGGATAAGATGAGTTTGTAGTATTAAGGCACTGGTATCAGAAAGACTGGGTATGAGAAACAGGGAAGATGACCAGATCACAGGTGGCCACCAATTTCTGGTCCATGCACACATGGATAGTGTTTCATTCACTGAGATAAGAAACTCAGGAGGAGGGCAGGTTTGGCCCTCACTATAAAAAATTCAGAGGGAAAAAGTGAGAATATGCCATATTCTTAATAATTACTCTCTTTAGGATGGGGCTAGGGTGGAAGAAGAGGTCATTTAATTTGTTCTTTCCAATTTTATGTGATCAAGTTTCCTATGATGAGAATTTATCATTTTTTGAGATATCAAGAAGATATGTTAGATATTTGAGGGTCCTTTTGAGAGTCTTATTTTCACGGATGTTAAATATGTCAGTTTGTTAACGTTGTGTGGTTTGCAGGACTTCAAACGCTTGTGTAAAGGCAGTGTAGAGACATTTAGAAAATAAGCAGATCTCTTGAATATTAGCTTTCAAACTAAACAGCTTCCCAGGTTATATGATAATTTTGATGCAGGAATGTAAATGGTTAAGTCCGAGGCACAGTAAAGGATGAAGGACTAGAATTAAATCAACTACTGAATACACATATTTGTTGTGGCTTTTTAAAAAATTTCTGAAACCACTTATATTCTAAAATATGATCTTTTCTCGGGAATGTCAGGTAGTTGAAATTGAACAAACGTTAAACAATGGCAATGATGAATCTCTCAAAGCAGTAAATTCTATTTTCCTGCAGCATTTATTTGTAATGAGTAACAAGTGCCAAAGATTTATAAAGAAAAAAATCATGTCAAAGTAGAGTTCTCCCCTCTCACCCCCACTGCCCCTAAGTGTAGGTTTTCAAAACTGGAGGTGAAGAGCAACTTTATTATGTCCTAGTTGTGGTGGAGTGTTTGACCCCCTGCGTCACAGATCCATAAAGCAAATGAGTCTGAATCTGTGTGGATAGGAGCAAGGGTCACTTTGACATGAAGTGGAAGAGGAGCTGGAGGTAAGTAGTGAAAAATTTATTAAGAGCATCAGAAGGTAGGAGTTTGGTGAGGGTTTCTAGGTTTGCTGGATGAAATACTTCAAGGAAAAAAAATGGAAATTGAGACAAAAGTTTGGTGATAATGTCTATAGTCAGTTGAATGTTTTCCTACAGATTAAAAAAAAAAGGAAATAGAGAAGTAGGCAGGGAACTGCAGATGTGACAGAGAAAGGAGAGGTGGTAACAGACCCAGCTCTCATCCCCAACTCTGTGTTACTCCCTACTCGGTGCTCCCAGAGGCTTGCTGAAGTGTTTGTTAACATTATAGGATCCTGAAAAATTTAAGCTATTGGCATTAAAAGACTATTTTTATGAGTAAGCCTTTATTAGGGAAAACATTTTTAATTTTCTTTTGAATGTGTGCCTCACATGAGCATGTCTTCCCCCCACACACACACACTTTGTAGAACTTTTTTCTAGCATTTGACTCTGTTGTGGTAAAATGAAATATTCTGAAATCAACAAAACTTGTTTCCTGTACCCAGTGTTTTGGGGTATGTGTACGTGTATATGTGTATTGCCCAGGATGGAAGGTTATTGCTAATCTATTCTGGGTATTGGACAAGTACGTCACTCTTAAGGTTTCAGAAGAAAAGATATGGTTGACTCCTCTTTTTTAAAGATTTGTTTATTTATTTTAGAAAAAGAGAACAAGTGTGCATGTGTGAGTTGAGGGGAGGGGCAGCGGGAGAGAGGGAGAGAGGGAGAGAGAGAGACTCCAGCAGACTCCCCGCTGAATAGAGAGCCTGATGCGATGCGGGGCTCAATCTCATGACTTCCAGATCATGACTAGAGCCAAAATCAGGAGTCGGACACATAACTGACTGAGCCAACCTGACACCCTAATAGGGTTAGCTTCTGAAATTCGATTCCAGGATTAGTATTTTTCCTGCTAACCCCTAGTCAGGCAGAGGTGGGATAATTGGCTAGAAGCAAACTATGCTCAGTGCTTCGGCTTTCCCCCCACAAACTCATCAAACAAGCAGATCTCCCAAAGTTTGCTGTACAGATTAAGCTAGTGGTTGGAGTTATAGCCACAAGGTACCTTAGAAAGAGAAATTGCAAATGAACTGATTTTAGACCCCTGTCTGGGTCTCTGGTAACTGAGCCACTCTTATGGTTTTATGGATAAAACCTTTAAAAAATTGCTAGCATGACAACATGGGGCCACTCTGTCACATACTTCTAATGATTCTTTCCTTGATTTTTCTGGGTCCAGACATTTGTTACTATGGTCACCAAATGCTGATGTAAAGATAGGATGCTTCTAATATCCAGCCTAATAGATGGGGCTCATATTCTACTCAGATGGATTATTTTTATTGTGGAGACGATTTTCCAAAGTAGGCAGCCCCCACTTGAAATGAGACAGACCTGATTACTGAGCTAAGTTATGTAAGGAGATAAGCCTCAATTTCTTTTCCTATAAAATGAGGATAAAGAATATAATTATCGGGGCGCCTGGGTGGCTCCGTGGGTTAAGCCTCTGCCTTCAGCTCAGGTCATGATCCCGGGGTCCTGGGATCAAGCCCCACATCTGGCTCTCTGTTTCAGCAGGGAGCCTGCTCCCCCCGCTCTCTCTCTGCCTGCCTCTCTGCCTGCTTGTGATCTCTCTCTCTGTCAAATAAATAAATAAAATCTTAAAAAAAAAAAAGAATATAATTATCATGTGGAGTTCTAGGCAATACACAGGGCAATTCATGGATCAATGTTAGCACTTTCAGAAAAACGATAGCTTCTCTGGCCGTATCATGTCAAAATGGTTTCATCTTGATCTTTCCTAATGACTTAAATCTCTGAAATGCCTACACTAGAAAGTCGTAAAACTTAAATACAAGCTAATTTTCTTTACTTTGGTTCCTCCAGGCAAGGAGCAGATGCCACAAGAGACGAGCTGACAACATCTGCATTCCTGACTATTCAGTTGGATAGGTCCCTCGGAGGACGGGCTGTGCAGGTTGGGGTAGTTTCTCTCCCAGAACTCACCCACGTTATTTGCTAGCCCAGTGACTAGTTAAAGACTTCCTCTCCAGCTGGGATGGGAATTTGGCCTTTCCTAAATATTACATTTTTTCATTTTGAAACTTAAATGTTCCTACTCTCATGCCATACTACTTCTCTCAGATTCTTGAAAAGAGGGAGCAAACAAAATTGAAAAACAAAAGCAAAAACAAATAACTAGTTAGCAGATCAAAGGAACCCAAGGAATTGACAGTTATTTGACATAAAACTGTTCTACCCAAGTTATTACTAACCCAGCTGATCACTTTCCAGTTTTCAGATCTTTGTAAGTGTGTAATTACTTCTTAAAAGATAATTAAACTTTGAGGTAAGTCAGATATTTTAGTACATAAAATTTAGGATGTGGACGCCAAATTTGGTCTTCTAACTGGTTTCTTTCCTGTCTTGGTACTTGACAGTCGATATACAAAGCAAGTTAGATCTTAAAATTTGAAGTTTCATATTAACTTTTTAATATTTTTACAAATTAGCAAGATGACTGAATTCTTTAAATGCATTGAACTCTACTTTTCCCTGAACTATTAAATTCACTTCTTGAATGAAATATTTCTAGTTAAGAACTGACATGAGTATCATTTAATTAACGTTTAAAGTATTCCTTACCAAACTATTCAAAAACATTGAAGACATACATTGTGACTTATAAATTCTGTATTTTGTAATAAAATACTTGATATACCCAGTGAATGAATTTCCATTGTTAGTCTGTCGCATCCCAAATTCTCAATGAGATGGTAATGTTTAGTTTAATCACTAGATGGCAGTAGTTCACAGTAATGTTTAAACAACTCCAGTCCCCGAGGCGCTGTTTTAAATTCCTTTGTAGAGTATGTCAACAGTAGTGAAACATTTTCAACTTAATGTTTATCTCTTTTATTTGAATTTAACAATGGAAAAATGGATCTTAATTATTGCCCCCCGCTTTTTCTTCTATGTTGGTGATTGAGGTTTTCTCAATGTTAAGGGAAATGCCAAGCCAGCAACAGTTTTAAGTAATCCTAGCTAACCTCATCCTAAACTTTGGGGTTGTGACTTAAAAAAGATTTCTGTGAGTTGCTACTTGGCTTATTTGGATGCCTACCAATTGGAAGATACCTGTGGGGGACGCCTGGCTGGCTCAGTCATGAGTCGTGTGACCCTTAATCTTGAGGTTGTGAGTTCAAGCCTCATGTTGGACAGAGAAATTACTCAAAAAAATTTTTTTAAATGAAATGAAAAAGAAAGATATCTGTGAAGTTAATTATTTTTAGTGCTCCCTAGGCCTCCCTGCTATGGCGTGTGCATCAGTATTCCCATTTACTTGGGCTTCTGGAAAAAGACACACCAGGGTGCATAAGACAGTTCAGTTTTAAATAATAACTTAAAAAATAATTGAAAAATTGAAATAATTTAAAAAATAGCTGACACAAAAGTTGAACTCTTTATGTAGAACATTGCATCAACAATTTATGTAAGAAATAAGAAACTCATTTCTAATCCAATGTCTGGTGTTAAACTAACAAGTGAAAGTAAATAATTTACCATTTACTTTCTTTAATTTCCTTGTCCTGAAAAGTCCTTATATTACATATTTTTAGAGTGCTTATATCAAGCAAATCTATTACCATCCCTATGAATAAAAAGTAGAAAACAAATTCTATTTATTTTTGCCAGATTTTGATGTTTGGAAGCCAGATTGTCATCATTTTTTCATCTCATGGTTACAGAGATGTAGAAATAATGACTATGCTTTGGTGTCGTCTTATTTTTGGAAGCATTTAAATGCACATCTCCTTACCTTCTGAAAAAGATCCGAAACATTTCTGAAACAAGTGTGTTACTACACAACTGTCAAGTGTCAGTGCTCTTGAAAAAAGAGTAATTTTTACAAACAATGGTGTACATCAGCACTTTGCTTTCTTTTCTCTTTTGGAGATGTACATGAACACACTTACAGCTTTGGACTTTCTGGAAGCAGGACACGGTGCCCTACGGTGCTGTCTCCCCCTGGAAGAAATAGTTCAGTGTGCTGTGTCCAGAGTCAAAGACGCTTAACGCAGCCAGAAAACTGTGCTTCATTAGCATTCACCTATATTTTCTGTTAATCACCATGCCTCCTGCTCTCGATTTCCTATTTATTTTTTTGTTTTTTGCTTTGTTTTCAAAAGGGAAGATAACACGTGTGGAAATACAACCCTCCTTCGTTGCATCCTTCCTTACGTTTCTTTTATCCTCCCTGCTCCCAGATCCGAGTCTCCCAAGGCAAAGAGCCTGCTCACCTGCTGAGTTTGTTCAAAGACAAACCGCTCATTATTTACAAGAATGGAACATCAAAGAAAGGAGGTCAGGCACCTGCTCCCCCTACACGCCTCTTTCAAGTCCGGAGAAACCTGGCATCCATCACCAGAATCATGGAGGTAATGCCATGCATTCAATCAAATGTGCCCTATTTATGGACTTCCCAGTGGACCTGAGCCATCAACAAATATTAGTCTTCAAAAAATTGGCAAGTAGATTCCCTCTATTTTGATAATTAATCCATTGTTCAGCAAAAACAAAACAAAACAAAACAAAAACACACATATACACACACAAAAAACCCCATAAAACAAAAATAGGAGAACCAAGTAAAAAGTGAACTCTGGATAACAGGCCTCTCACACTTTTCAACTGCATTGTACTAAAAAATTAAAAAAAGATTTTTAAGAGTAATGTAACAAATCAAATGGTCAAAGGCCTGAAGCTTTATCTTTTAGAAAGGCCTGGAGGAAGATGGATGCCAGGTGATGGTCAGGTGGTCACAGGGGAAATTCAAGAGGGAAAACCCTTGTTTGTCCAAGTGTGACACATGTGGAAAGCAGGCTTCACTGTATTGGTCTACAACCATAACTCAACCAGCCAAATAAGCTGTCTCTGACTGCAGCTGGGAAACAAATCAAACTCCATGTCACAGGTCAGAAGACAAGAAGACCTCTAGCTATGGACAAGCCAGCAGGCCCAGGTGTCTAATGGCTGAGTGTTTTGACCTCTGGGACCATCCATCACATTTCATAATCCAGACATCTCCTTCACTGTTGAAATCCACATCTCCCCAGTCACCCCTAAACTGCCCACCACATTCTGTAATCCCCACACCTGGACCTACCTGCCAACCCTTCCCCTTGGCACAAGCCATTCCGCCAAGCCCTTGAAACCAGCTGGGCCGTGACATACCTTCCACCTGCAATCTCTTCTCTAAACCAGCCTCCCCCATACCTTCTTGCTCTATGGCGTCCTCTGAGGACACAGATTCCCATATAGCCCTCACAAGTGCAAGTTGTTTTTCCTCAGTGCCCTCTTACCAGGTATGGGGGCGAGTAAGGTACCCTTCTGGCCCGCTCTTGCCTCCTTGACTTTTGTCCCTCTTATCAGACTCTCCTCCCTCAGCATCCTTGTGCCGTCATCCATGGAGCCACCAGCCCTTCCCCTCTTATTCTTTGGTGGCTTCAGCCATTGTCTCACTGACTCCATCCCTCTGGCTTCTCTCATCAAACAGTCTTGTCCTTGACCCCTTTTATCTCACACTCATATGGTCCTGTACTGAAATTTGCTATAACTTTAGCACCTCGAAAATCTGTTTCCAGCATCTAATCTCTGACAACCCTCTCCTGTCGTTTGGTCCCTTTGCTCTAGGATGCACATTCTAGCAATTTCCAGTCTCAAACCTAAGTCCCTGAACTCTCTCCATCCAACACACCCTTCATGTCTTCCCTCTCCAAACCTCCAACACGCCTGCTCTCCACTGAGCACGAAGTCAGAGTTCTCAGAGAACATAAATGTAATCACACAAGAGTCACCTCATCTACTCCCCTCCAGTGTCACCAACGTGCTCCTGTCTGTACACATATATTCTCCTTCCTGCCTGTTTCATGAAGTGAATGTAATTTATTTATATTTAATAATCTTTAAGTATTTTATAATAGTTCCTTAGATATAAATACTAAATTATTTTATAAATTAATATCAATATACTCTTACCCATAAATTAGCATTACAAAGTAATGTTTGTGAAAAGTAATATATTGGTAAATAAACGAATACATATTTATTATGTAAATAAATAAAATGTGACTCCTATCCTGAGACCAAATTCCTACCACTACCACTACCCCCAACTTCTGCCCCAGCCCTCTTGACTTCCTGAGGACTTTCCCGGATTTCCCCTCTGTCCCGTGTTCTTACCTCACCTCCAGTTCATCAATATGGTGGGCAGTAAACTTTCTCTTCTCTATCATCAGTGTATTCTTCTCTTCTGGATCATTTACTTCAGATAGCAAGCATGCCTTCAAAACACTCCCGTTTTCCATTAAAAACCCTCTCTTGGGTTTTTAATGGAACCACTGGGTGGCTCAGTGGGTTAAAGCCTCTGCCTTCGGCTCTGGTCATGATCCCAGGGTCCTGGGATCGAGCCCCGCATCGGGCTCTCTACTCAGCAGGGAGCCTGCTTCCCTTCCTCTCTCTGCCTGCCTCTCTGCCTACCTGTGATCTCTGTCTGTCAAATAAATAAATAAAATCTTTAAAAAAAAAAAAACAAAAAAAAAAACCCTCTCTTAACCCCGACCCTCCCAAATACCATATCCTTTCTCCGCCCTTCTTAAGAGAGCATGGATCCTCAAAATCATTGGCCTCACTCCCTCCCTTGTCCCTACGTGGTTAAGCCTCTTCTTTGTTAAGCCACTCTCCTCGGGCATCGTTCCAGCCACTCCTAGCCTGTTACCTAGTACCTGCATTGCACGGAGACAGAAGTATCTTTTCTAACCCCTTTCCTTAACCTTCAACTGGCCTTTGCCACAGTCACCCTTCCCTAGCTTCTTGAAACACTATTTTTTTTTTTTTCACAAGGCCTCTGAAGCAACCACACTTAACCAGGATTTCTTCCAAGTTTCTGAAGAGTGTTTTCACTCCACTTCTTGCACCAGTCCAGTTTCTGCTTCTCCTCTGCCTGTCCTTCAAAACCCCTGGGCTCAGTCTTGGCCCTCTCCATGGTTGTCTCATTCAGTCTTATCATTTAAATGCCATCATGTATATTGACCTCATCTAGAACATTCTGTACATGGATTCTCATATGTTCTATTATGACTGATTTTTTTTTTTAATCTGTCAAGTTAACCATTGAGCTTTCCTCTGCAGGCACTCTCAACTGGTTTCAGATGGAAGAGTCTAGAACCCTTGCATTCCTAGTCTCTTCCCTGCAGGCACATCTTTAAGAGGCATGTGAGCTGCTTGTGATGTTTTTTGGCTTTGTTGGCTTGTAATCTCTCAAACTGGCCTTCACATTCCCAGCCTCTCTGAAGTGTGCTCATCAAAATCATTGTGAGGCTTTCTGCTTTCATCTCCTGGGAGGCTAAAGCTTTATGATGTTCTATTTTGGAACTACTTCCCTGAAGCCACACTAGTCTGTGTGTGGGTCTCTTGTCCTCTGTCTATCCTCCACGCTCTTCCCTCTGTGCCAGTAAGGAGACATTCGGAGGAGAAACTGGCCGTGCCGGTTCCTATCAGTCTCTGTCATCACATCCAGCAGATTCCTTTGAATATGGGTCCAAGAGGCCTTGTTCCTCCTACAAAAGGATGATACCCCCATCCCTGAATGTTGGCAACCCCTGGAACACATCCTTAACATTTCTAACAGATTGTGTGTCAACTGTACTTCAAAAAAAATAATAAATAAAAAATAGAAGTTCCAACAACTGTTCCTTCCTCCTCTAGGGCTTTCTCTGGAGATAGGGTCCTGGTGAACCTGGTGAAATTCAGCTGTCCGCATAGTTAATGGCACCTCGACCCAGCTGGCCAAACACCATCATCTGACACCTTCTTGAAATGCCCTCAGAACACCAGACTTGTATTTCCTTCCTCTCTCATGGCTGTTCCATCTCAGACGTGCTCACTGGTTCTTCTTCATCACCTTGAGTCCCATGGTGGTGCCGAAAGTCATACACGTCCTGTCATAGTCACATGGCCATGTGGTCAGACAGAGTCTGACAAGAATCACAGAATCCCAAGACCGTAGACATGAAGGCACAAGCCCATCATGGGGCCCTCGGGCTCACTCCCAGGCCTGAGACTGCACCAGCTTGTCCTGCCCTGATGTTCTGCCTTCTGCCTCCTCCTCAGGCCAGAGTCCGGGCCCATGCGGGTCCTCCTCATTCCTCTGTGGCCACAGGGAGCACAGCTGTGCTTTCCTGGCCCGATTCCAGACAGTGGCCACAGCTACTTGCTTGAAAGGAAAGGGCGTGTCAGTGCTGTTACTAATCTGCTATAGCCTTTTACAATTTGAGTTATAATTTATCTGAGCTTGGAGAACCCGTTAGTGAATTTGCATTGTTATCTCTTTGCCAGCATTGGATTCCAGTCCCTGTTTAATGATTTTTTATGATTTTATGATTTTTTTCTTTTTTTTGATTTTATGATTTTTTATGATTTTTATGTTTTGTGGGGTTTTTTGTGTTTTTTTTTTAAATTTCAATATAGTTAATGTACAGTGTTATATTAGTTTCAGGTGTGCAATATAGTGATTGAACACTTCCATATATTACTCAGTGCACCCGTCCCTCTACTCACCACATCTCTGGTAACCCTGTTTGTTCTCTATATTTAAGTGTCTGTTTTTCCGTTTGTCTCTCTTTTTTTCCCTTTGTTTGTTTGTTTTCTTTCTTAAATTCCACATATGAGTGAAATTCCCTGCTATATTTCTTTCTCTGCCTGGCTTGTTTCACTTAGCCTTATATTCCGTAGATCCACGTGTGTTGTTACAAATGGCAAGATCTCATTGCTTTTTATGGCTGAATAATATATATATATACTGCTTCTTCTTTATCCACTCATGTATCGGTGGACATTTGGCCTGCTTCCATAATTTGGCTATTGTAAATAACAGCTCAATAAACATAGGCGTGCGTGTCCTTTCGATTCTTTTGGTAAATACCCTGTAACACCATTACTGGGTCATGGGATAGTTCTATTTTTAACTTTTTGAGGGACTCCATTCTGTTTTCCACAGGGGCTGCACCAGTTTCCATTCCCACCAACAGTGCACCAGGGTTCCTTTTTCTTCACATCCTCACCAACATTTGTGTTTCTGATTTTAGCCATTCTGACTGGTGTAAGATGATACCTCATTGTGGTTTTGATTTGCATTTCCCTGATGAGGAACGATGTTGGGCATCTTTTTCATGTGTCTTTTGGCCATCTGATGTCTTCTTTGGAGAAATGTCTATTCATGTCTTCTGCCTGCTTTTAATTGGATTATTTGTTCTTTTGGTGTTGAGTTACTTAAGTCCTTTATATGTTTTGGATACTAACCTTTTATTGGATATGTCACTTGCAAATGTTTTCTCCCATTCAGTAGGGTATCTTTTAGTTCTGTTGGTTGTTTCCTTTGCTGTGCAGAAGTTTTTTGTTTTTTGTTTTGATGTAGTGCCAATAGTTTATTTTTGCTTTTGCTCCTCTTGCCTCAGGAGGTATATCTAGAAAGACTTTGTTACGGCCAACATCAGAGAAACGATGCCTCTGCTCTCTAAAATTTTTGTAGTTCCAGGTCTCACATTTAGGGCCTTACTCTATCTAGAGTTACTTTTTGTGTATGGTATAAGAAAGTGATCCAATTTCTTTTTTTTTTTTATCTTTTTTTTTAAAGAGATTTTATTTATCTATTCATGAGAGATAAAGAGAGAGAAAGAGAGGGAAAGGGAGAAGCAGACTCCCCATGGAGCAGGGAGCCTGATGTAGAATTTGATCTCAGGACCCCAGGATCATGCCCTGAGCTGAAGGCAGACGCATAACCAACTGAGCCACCTAGGCTCCTGGAAGTGGTCCAGTTTCATTCTTTTGCATGTAGCTGTCCGGTTTTCCCCACACCATGTGTTGAACAGATAGTCTTTTTTCCCATTGCATATTCTTGCCTCCTTTGTCAAAGATTAATATAAGCATATAATGACCATATAAGCATAGCTGTATTTCTGGGCTTTCTATTCTGTTCCACTGATCTATGTGTCTTTTTGTGCCAGTACCATACTATTTTGATCACTACAGCTTTGTAATGTATCTTGGAAGTCTGTTTTTTGTAATGTATCTTGGAAGTCTTGTTTTTCTTTTTCAAGATTGCTTTGGCTCTTCAGGGTCTTTCATGGTTCTATACAAATTTTAGGGTTGTTTGTTCTAGCTCTGTGGGAAAATACTGTTGGTATTTTCACAAGGATTGCATTAAATCTGTAAATTGCTTTGGGTAGGTGTCCCTTTGATTATTTGGAAAACCTTGTAAATAGGGGAGAGAAAAACTGAACATCTTTTTTTTTTTAAAGATTTTTATTTATTTATTTGACAGAGAGATCACAAGTAGGCAGAGAGGCAGGCAGAGAGAGAGGGGAAAGCAGTCTCCCTGCTGGGCAGATAGCCCGATGTGGGGCTTGATCCCAGGACCCTGAGATCTGCTGAAGGCAGAGGCTTAACCCACTGAGGACCCATGTGCCCCCAAAACTGAACATCTTTGCTTTATGTGTGTCGTTTGCATCTATCACACCCACTTTCCAAACATCACTTATAGTCAATGCCTATTCTTATGGTTTCTTTAAATATTATCTTTGTTCCTTCTCACTTAAGTTTGGCCAACTTTATTCTTAGAGCCCTCTGCCGCTGTCTGTGGGCAGTTGAACATAAAAGTGATACAGAGCAAAGTACTACTACTGTTTCTAATGCCAGAGTGGTGTCCTGGTGCCACCCTGGAATCAGGACAGAAGGTAATGCATGGTTTATTCCTGTCACAGCTTCTCAGACATGTTTATTGAGGGAGTAGTGGTGAATCTGAATCCCTCTGTTATTTTTCTTTATACTCTAGGTAGATGTTGATGCACAGTCTTTGAATTCCAATGATGTTTTTGTCTTGAAACTGCGACAAAACAATGGCTACATCTGGATAGGAAAAGGTGCCAGCCAGGAGGAGGAGAGAGGAGCAGAGTATGTGGCAAGTGTCCTCAAATGCAAAACCACAAAGATTCAGGAAGGCGAGGAACCAGGTGTGTGCCGTGGGGTCAAGGACACTAGCCAGGACTTGTATTTGGTATAATTGCTAATCATGTAATTTTAAAACTTTTTCATAAACAGGGCTTTTGTAACAGTTATAGGGCAGTGCAGATCCTTCCCTTAGTTGCAAAAGTGGGTGATGGAACCTGCTATATTTAAGTAATTTCTTAACATTAAAGTCAAGATGAAATAATATCATTTGTTAATGTAAAGGCAAGACCAGCTCTGGGCTCCTGGAAGTGCATTGGCTAACTCATTGTGTTTTTCACAGAGGAGTTTTGGGATTCCCTTGGAGGGAGGAAACACTACCAGACTTCTCCACTGCTAGAAACCCAGGCTGAAGACCATCCACCTCGGCTTTACGGCTGCTCTAACAAAACTGGGCGATTCATCGTGAGTGTCTTGCAAAACACAGGGGTAGAACTGAAGAACATTGGGAGAGGCATTCCCATGGGGCTCTCACACTTTTCAGCCACGTCAGTGCTCTGATTCTCAGTTTTAGCTTGCTTATCTGCAAACAGGTGATCATCTTAGCTCTATAAAAGTTCATTTTAAGAGTCCATGACATAATGGATGTGAAAGCATAGGAACACCATAAAGTACTACATAAATCAAGCCGCTTTTAAAAATATCAACTTCTTGGCACCTGTGTCAGCATGAGGCTGTAGCTCTATGAATATGCATATGGTTGGATTTACTAATTTAATAATTTGACACTTTCTGTGGGAAACCGTGGTGGTTTCTGATCAAACTGTGTCAGTTTTACACTTCAATTTCCCAGGGAATAAAAAGTTTCACCATGTTGACTGACTAGAAATATTATGATAATATTATGATCATTGGGCAGAATCATAGAAAGCTACATATGCACCTGCAAATTGAGTGAAATCAGCAAGAAGGTTTTATTTTATAGTCATTCACAGGCTTTGAATTGCAGACATTTCAAAGTATCTGGTGTACAAGACTGATTTTATATCAGGCTCTAAAATATCCTGGGGTGCAGCCCCTCATCTCAGTTGAAGCGTAAAAATTCTGTTTCCTCTGTTTGACATGCTAGGTTTTTGAGCAAATATTTTGCTTAAAGAACAGACTTCTTTCTTATGTAAAATTTGATACAAAGATTTGGTCACCATGTCCTGGTGAATACAAGCTTTATTTTTCAACACATACACATGAATTGTCTAAATTATTCCCCAGCTACATTGCTTGCCAGAAATAAAATGCTTTGAGGAAGAAAATGCTCATGTTCAAACCACACTTGAAGATTATAAGAGATTTGACCTAAAACTTGAATGTTCAAATTAAAGATTCAAATTGTGATAAATATTTGGTTGTTGGGCACCACAGTTGCTCACCAACTTTCTAGAAAAGGAAATCCTTGTATTTTAAAAACTTGCCAGAAAAAAATCTGTTATTTTACTCTTTTGACTGTTGATTCGATATGGCATCTAATCAACTTTTTTCAACTAACGCTTCTGTAATTTCTTATTAGTATTATTTGTTATTATTGCTATAAATAACATGCTTGTCTCCAATGAAGATGTATTTTACAAAAATCATACCTAGGCTTTGTCAGGTTTAAAAAAAATCCGTTAGTCTTTGTTTTTGTCATGAACATATTTAAGGGAAATATACTTTTCCTCTACACCTACTCATTTTTTTGTTTGATAGTTGAAACTCCGACTATTCCCTTCACAATTTAAGGAAAAGAAATGTGACTGACAAGTATTTGATCTGGCTGTCATCATCAAAAAGCAGGCCTTAGACCTATAGATTCACATAAGACACCAGAGCCTGTGGGTTAAAAGCATAGGTTTTGGAACCAGTCTGCCTGTGCAGTATCACTTACTTGGTGATATTACTTACTAGCTGTGTGACCTCAGGCTGGTTACTTACCCTCTCTGTGCTGTAGTATTCTCACCTGTAAAATGGGGAAAATCCAGTACCCACTTCAGAGAGTTGTGTGTGAATATTAAATTAATTGTTCATATAAAGGAGTTAGAACAGTGCCTGACATGGAGTGAGATTTAAAGTTTTTGGTTTTTTTTTAAATCATTCTGTGATTGATAAATATTCTGTAAAAAAGAAAATATAAACTAAGTTTTTGCCTTCTGTAAATAGTTTTTGTCTGTTTTTTATGTAACAGTCTCAAAATTTCATCAGGTTACAATAAATATGTATTAAGGTCAGAAGGCTGCAGGTTGCCTGGGACCAAGTTTACCCAGGCCTGGCCCAGCTGGAAGGTTCTCCTTTGGACTACAGGTTGGATTCATGCCTGTTTTTCCCACAACTGAGCCCAGGAGCACAAGAGGGTCCCTGAAGAGTCACATTTGCTGATAAGACATGGCCAAGGCCAAGACTATCTCCACTTACTCTACTGTACTACAGAGTCACACAGCAGAGGGTAGGAGTGAAGAGTTATGAACTATAGCCCCGTCTACCATACCTTCCTAAGGGTCAGGGGCTTTGTTATCCAGAATCCTTTAAAAATTTGGAACTGTGGATTAATACCTGCCCACTGGTAGTGTGTGCATTAAACTAACCCTCCCTAGCAAACTTTAAAATTAACTACAGAGAACATGATTTAACACATTTAAAATAATAATAATAAAAAAACTTTGCATATGGAATATCATTGTGTCAAAAATTGTTGATTTAGGCAGTGCCTGGATGGCTCAGTCGGTTGGGCATCTGTCTTCAGCTCAGGTCATAGTCCTGGAGTTCTGGGATGGAGCCCCACATCAGGCTCTCTGCTCGGCAGGGAACCTGCTTCTTCCTCTCTCTCTGCCAGTCATTCCCCCTACTTGGGCTCTCTTTCTCTCTCTGTCAAATAAATAAATAAAATCTTTAAAAAAAAAAACTGTTGATTTCGAAAATGACCAGACCTATTGATTTTATTAAAATAATCTTGACCTACAAAATAAAAGGCAACTGAATACTTAGACCATAAGCTCAAATGTCTTTAGGGACTAGGAAGGCAACGGAGATCTGTGAAGCAGCTTGTCACAAGGGACTGGCAGTGGAACTGTGGTCAAACGGACTATAGACTCCCTGAGGCATTCCGGTGTCATGTTTGTCGTAAGCACTGTGCTTCCCAGATCAGATTCCGTCAGCTTGTGAGAGAAGATTAAACAAACAAATAATTACCTAAATATTTATTACTCAGAAAGAACCAAAAAATGGCTACCAAGCTTTATTTTTATGATGCTTTAAAATAATACAATGCATTGGTTCCCTATATATTAGAAAAATTATTGCTTTACTCTTGGATCCTAAGGCTTTTTCAAACATTTCAGATTGAAGAGGTTCCAGGAGAGTTCACCCAGGACGATTTAGCAGAAGATGATGTCATGTTACTAGATGCTTGGGAACAGGTAAAATCGTATTTGGTGTGTTTATACTTGGGAGCCGACAAAACCGGCTTTGAAAAATGACAAGTCTAATAATAAATGGACTTGTGGGTTTAGGCTACATTTTAGAAAGACTCAACACAGTTTGGCAAAAAATAAAACTGATACCTGTAGCAAACTGATTTCCAAATGTGGGAAAAATTCCATGCTACCATCTGGGGCTGTGTAGTTTTAGGCATAAAAGTTCTATTTTTCATTTATGTGTAAAATTCATTCACTCCTAATTTCTTCATGCATTCATCCATTCATTTAAGTAGGAAATGCATTAGTGGGTACAATGCCTTGGGGGTACAGTACCACGGCAAAGTCAAAGATTTAGAGTTTTTCTTGAAATCCTACAAGGAGTCGTCATAGGGTACCTTTCCCCTGGGGAAGAAACAGACACAGAATAGTTGTGACTCTATACAGAAAATATGTTGCTGTTATGTGTGGCTTTATTTGGGAGGAAATGAATGGGGATTTGGCATGCTGTATCTGATAGTTGGGGTTTTGTTGTTGTTGTTGTTGTTTAGCCTTTGTGTAAACTGATAATAATAGAAGGGAAAAATAGATATATTAGGAACTAAAATGTATGGAACAACTATGATACCTGCATCTGAATTAGGCCTACTCTTAGAGTCAACACCAGTAAGTAAAGACTTTTAGGTCTGTTCTTAATTGCTAAAATCATTTGGTTATATTATCCCTTAGCTTCTTGGTCTAGAATTAACATGTTAGAATTTGGAATCTAGTCACAGATTGTCTCCAGGTGAATGGATCACATATTTGTAGATATGAAATTTAAAACATCATGTCAATAAAAACATCTTTGTGTATTAAGAATTATAAAATAAGTGCACTTGGGTGGCTCAGTGGGTTAAAGCCTCTGCCTTCAGCTCAGGTCATCATCCCAGGGTCCTAGGATCGAGCCCCGTGTCGGGTTCTCTGCTCGGCGGGGAGCCTGCTTCCCTTTCTCTCTCTGCCTACTTGTGATCTCTGTCTGTCAAATAAATAAATAAAATATTTTAAAAAGTAATAATAATTGGAACGCCTGGGTGGCTCAGTTGGTTAGGCGGCTGCCTTCGGCTCAGGTCATGATCCCAGCGTCCTGGGATCGAGTCCCATATCAGGCTTCTTGCTCAGTGGGGAGCCTGATTCTCCCTCTGCCTCTGCCTGCCACTCTGTCTACCTGCGCTCGCTCTCGCTCTCTCTCTCTCTCTCTGACAAATAAATAAAATCTTTAAAAAAAAAGTAATAATAATAAATCTTTTTAAATAAAGAATCATAAAATAAGGAGCACGTGGATGGCTCAGTTGGTTAAGCGTCTGCCTTTGGCTCAGGTCATGATCCCAGGGTCCTGGGATTGAGCAGCTGTACCTCCCCCAACCCCCAAATCAGGAATCCCTGCTCAGCAGGGAGCCTGCTTCAGGCCCTCCCCAAGCTCTTGGGTATGCTTGCTCTCTCATGTGCCAGTTCCCCTCTCTCTTTCTCTCAAATAAATAAACAAATAAAATGTTTAAAAATAAATTAAGGTAATTCAAGAGAATGTTTCAGCATTGAAGTTCACAACCTATGCATTTGACAAGAAGGATACATACAGAATATGTAATTATATCAGTTTAAAAAAAACTCAAAAAATTTTAAAAACCTCAATATTTAAATACTAAACATTGTAGCACTTTTACCAAAGTGTTAGACGATACAGTTTTAGGTGTACACTATAGGTTTAAGGCAGAGGCTTTGCAAGGGAGGCTGAGGTCCCTGCAGGAGAAAAATAATATGGGGATAATGACTGCCTTACATACAGACCTTAAAGGGGCGGCTGCAGAAAACAGGCAATGTGTTGTTTTGATCAAGTGTATGAACTAGAAAATACTATATAAACTTGAAATATCAGGATGTGAATTCTGGAGCCAAACTGGCTGGATATCAGTTTCGAGTATCTCCTAGTAAATGCAAACATTGGGAAAGTGATGGACCACCTTCCCTGTACCTCCTTCTCCACGTCCCTAACTTGGGGGCTTGCTGTGAAGATGATATGAGCCATGTGTGAGAAGCTCTTGGTATAGGGCTTGCACCGAGCCAACACTCCCCAAACAGTACGTATTATTGTTGTTTCGTTTTTCAGATTTTTGTTTGGGTCGGCAAAGACGCCAATGAAGTTGAGAGGACAGAATCTCTGAAGTCTGGTAAGCGAGATTCTACGGACAATGATGGCATTTACCCTGAGTGCTTATTATGAAGTTCCTGACTGCTCTTTTCACCACATTCTTCAAAATCACATATTAAAACCGGGCAGAATCTAATAAGCTTTTGCTTTCTGAACTGAAGTGTAATGGAATTTTTTTGAACTGAAGAATTTCAGAATAAGAATAAGAAAAATGTTGTGTTACCTAATTTAGAACATGATTACATCAATTTATTCTGCAAACTTCAAATTCACTTTATTATAGAAGTAGTAAAACCTCTGTAACTATGATAACCTAGATTTTTTTAAAAAATTGTTTTTGAGTAATGCTGCTCTTTCTGGAACAATTTTTTTTTAATTTTTGAAAAGTACAAGAATAATTATGCCGTAAGGATAATTCTATAAAGTTTGAAATCTTTTTAGGCAATCATTAGACTCTCATGTGCAATCCATGGCAGATGAGAGAAATCAATAAGGAATTGTTCGTATGGAACAGTATTTGGCTCTTCAGGGCAATGGAAATTTGACTCATTATTTTTATTGGGAGACTTTTCACTCCATAGTTATTTTAGTTTAATCAAAACTAACTGACCCTATGACCCAGCAATTGCTCTACTAGGTAGGTATCCAAAGGATACATATATAGGGATTTGAAGGGGCATAACCACCTCAATGTTTATAGCAACAATGTCCACAATAGCCAAACCGTGCAAAGAGCTCGGATGTCCGTCGGCAGATGAATGGATAAAGGAGATGTGGGACATATATATGTATATATATGCATATATATAATGGAGTACTACTCAACCATCAAAAAATGAAATCTTACCATTTGCAACAACATGAAGGGAGCTGGAGTATATTCTGCTAAGTCAGAAGACTTAAGACTGAAATAAGTCAGTCAGAGAAAGACAAATACCATATGATTTCAGTCATATGTGGAATTTAAGAAACAAAACAGATGAACACAGAGGAAAGGAAGGAAAAATAAAATAAGAGGAAAACAGAGAGGGAAGCAAACCATAAGAGACTCTTAACTATAAGGAACAAAGAGAGGGTTGCTGGAGGGGAGGTGGGTGGGGAGGGGGGTAACTGGCTGATGGGTATCAGGGAGGGCATTTGAAGTAATGGTACTGGGTGTTTAAATGCAATTGATGAATTCTACCTCTGGAACTAATAATACAGTATATGTTAATTAAACTGAATTTAAATAATTTTTTTTAAAAACAACTAAATGAATATGTTTATCTTTCAATTCTTTATAGCCAAAATGTATCTTGAGACAGACCCTTCTGGAAGAGACAAGAGGACACCAATAGTCATCGTAAAACAGGGCCATGAGCCACCCACATTTACAGGCTGGTTCCTGGGCTGGGATTCCAGAAGGTGGTAAACAGGTTTTTATAGGAAAAAAAAAAAAAAAAAATATTTTGGAGCCACTGTCCCATTGCTGTTTTGAGGGGAAGAAAGGTTTTTTGTTTGTTTAACTTTAGAAAATTAACCTCAGCCCTATGACGATTTTTTAATGCCTTGTATTGGTTTGGAAAACTTTCTAAACTAGAATTTTCTTATGTCAGTATTTTAAAATAACCTAAAGTAAATTTTTGTTATGGACCAATATTAGCTCTGCTGAAAACTCATTTGTATCTTTTTATATGAGCTTTTAAAAAAGTTTGAAAAGCTATGCATAATCTAGCGGAGTTTATCAGGGAATTTTATAATTCAGGAAACTTTAACCAAACTAGTTCTTTATATGCCACAGACATAAGCCATAATGCCTTGGAGGTTATTCTCCTTTCCATGTGCTGTGTTCAAAAGAATTGTTATGTTTGCAATGAGGTTTATGTTAAGATGGTTTAAATGTTTGTTATTTGCCTTCTTCAGCCAATGTGACTCTGATACCATTCACTCCTAAGTATCATCTTCTAAGAGTAACTTTACCATTTTTGCCTTTTTAAAAGCCTTTGAAATCACAGCTTTTTCATGACAAAATAATTAGTCTCATCTGGTTAGATATATGTATTTGACAGTACACGTTTAATACCACAAAGGTTACGTACGAAAAAATTCATTAATGCTGTCTTTCATCATTAAAATGCATCTCTTTCGGAAAGGTTTTCTGTTGTGACATTTTATTTAAATATGACATGCGAGTTAATGACACAATTAGTTTTAAGGTTAAATACTTTTATGCATAAATAAATACGAATTTAATATTTCTTAATTCATCCTCATTAAGTAGTCAAAATTAAACAACTTTTCCAAGGTTACATAATTATAAAAGATTTTAAATATCAGTGCATATGAAATCTGGGTCCTGTTGAAGATGAACTGAGGTGGATTAAACATTTCAAGAGTTTATCTGAGCAAAAATCAATTTGGATTGGGCAGTGCCAAACTAAAAGCAGTTAGGAGCCTTCTACCAGCAGGAGTGTAGGGAAAGACTTTTCTAGAGAAAAACTAAAGCGATATAAGGAAAAATTTTTTTTTAAGATTTTAGTTGTTTATTTGTCAGAAAGAGAGAAAGAGCAAGCAAGCACAAGCAGGGGGGCAGCAGGCAGAGGGAGAAGAAGATCTCTGCTGCACAGAGAGCTGCACGCAGGACTCAGTCCCAGGAACCTGGGATCAGGACCTGAGCCGAAGGCAGACGCTCAACTGATTGAGCCACCCAGGCGTCCCAAAGTAAGGAAATTCTTGATTGGCTAGGCTGAACGCCCAGTTGGCTGTTTGTGAGTGGTTGTCCTCAGATTTTGATTTTGTAACCTTGAGGCATCTGTAGGGTTAGATTTTGGTTGGCCTACATAGGTCTCCGCAGCGTTAGAGCCACGAGTCAGTCTAATGGCTTCCTTGTTTAAATAATTTAACAGACCCCAGAAGATAGGAGTTGGGCCAGAAGGAGGAGCACTAGTAAAGCAGAAACGAACTTTGGCAGTAGGCTAGGAGGTGAATCGTGGAGGAGCCATAGTCACATTTCCATGGAAAGGGGACTCAGAGCCAAGGAACGATCTGAGGAATTCTCACACTGTGACTGGGGGATGAAAGATGGCTGTGCTCCAGACTGGGTCCTGGCATGGGTCCTGGCATGCAGAATCGAGCCCCGTACCATTGTGGCAGAAAAGCGATCGGTCGTGCAGAGACCCACAGCTTGTGTGAGTGGTGAGGAAGCCGCGAGAAGATGCACTTCTAGAGACTATTCAGTCAGTAAATCTTTTTATTGGGCATCTACCGGGTGTGGGGCACTATTCTGAGCACTTTGGATCCAACATGAATGAAACAGACAAAATCCAAACTGTCATGGAGTTTATAGTCCAGGGAAGAAGCTAACAAAAACAAAGGCAATAAGTAGATACAGTTGTTCCCACTTACCCTCAGTCTTGCTTTCCATGGTTTCTGTTAACCACGGTCTGCTGTGGTCTGGAAGCAGATGATCCTCCTGAGGTAAGCTCAGAAGGCCCATAGTAGCCTAATTCGATGACGCAATGGTTCATCCATTTATTGTTGCATCCCACAGGCATTTTATCATCTCACGTCACCCCAGGAAGAATAAGACTGTGCAACAAGACTTTGTGAGAGAGAGAAAGCCCACATTCACACAACTTCTATTACAGTATATTGTAATCGTTCTATTTTGTTGTTATTGTTGTTAAGCACTCCTAAGAGCTAATTTATAAATTAAACCTCAACAAGAGCTATGTACATGTAGGAAAAAATACCATGTATAGGGCTCTGTACTAGCCTTAGTTTCAGGCATCCGCTGGGGATTATGGAATGTATCCCCTGTGGATAAGTGGGGACTATAATATAAAATATATCAGAATGTAACTTCTATGGAGGAAAGGTGTGTAGGGAGGGAGGACAGGAAATATTAGGCGAGAGTGGGGCAGAGTACAATTTTAATAGAGTGGTTATAGAAGGTCTTTTTGGGTAGATTATAACAAAACATGGACTCGACAGGGAAGGAATGAACCTTGTGATCGCAGCCAGTCTGAGGGGATCCCAAGAACACAGGCATTAGGAGCATGTCTGATAGAATGGCTTCATTTTGTCATGCCTGAATTCTGAAGAAGCAGGGAGATCCCTTGGGGTTCTTTCCTCTCACCCCTGAACTAGAACAAATTCATCTCAAGCAGAACTGCTGTTTTAAGCCTGAGTATGAAGAGATTGCTTTCCTAAACCCAAACCCAAGTCCTCAGAGGCAGAGATGGTGACCACGAAGGAGCCAGCCAGGTGGTCAGCACAAGCATTGTGGGGAGGATGGATGTCTTGAGTAGTGGTGCCCAGCTCCAACACTGGAGGTGGCTGCAGAAATTACCAGCAACCACGGCTTCTGTGTCAAGAAGACTTATAAACCTGACATTTAGGAAAGTGGAGGGCAGCTGGTGGAGAGATGGGAAAAAGATTTATAAAAGTTACCTAGAAAGGGTGACTTAGAGAGTTGCTGTTTTTGACTTTCATACCCAAAGCTGTTATGGCTTGAAGAAACACCTGCAAATCATGTAAAATCATTATGAGGGGAGGGGAACCATCTACTTCTAAAAAGGCAATTGGTGGATTATAGAAGGGTGGTTATTCCAGGATACTGTATCATTTTAAAACCCAGATTTTATGTAAATCCTCACAGAAATTCATCTTCTGGATTTAAAATGCAGTTTTATACAGCTTAATTGATAGAGAAGTTTTATAACTTTCTATTTTTCTTGAATGGAGTTATTGCTTATTAATTTTTAATATGAACTTTAGATTTCTTCTTTTTGATTTTCCTCAAAGATTTTTGGGATGAAAAACCAAAAAAATATAGCTGGTCCTCAGTGACTAGTGCTTTTACAGACCTTTCCTTACTTCAAATAATATAACACACTCCTTTTTGTATGAAATGCGTGACTAGAAAACAAAATTTAGTGAATCCAGGAAAACCAAGTGCTAACCAGAAATAATATTCTAGTCAGAAGTAGCACATCTCGGGGATTTTAATGATTTTTAAGATTTTATTTATTTATTTAAGAGAGCTAAAGAGTGAGAGAGCCCGAGGAGGGGGTAAGGGGCAGAGGGAGAGGGAGAAACAGACTCCTAGCTGAGCAGGGGACTCCCCTCCCCCGACATGGGGCTCCATCCCAGGACCCTGGGATCATGATCTCAGCTGAAGGCAGATGCTTAACCAACTGAGCCACCCAGGCACCCTAATATCAGAAATTTTAAATAAGAAATCAGACTGTGACATTAACTTTGAGCAAAAGGCCAGAAAATGAGGAACCTGTGTAAAATGAATTACTATTTTATCTTACCATTTGTTTTATTTTGCAAGACCACTAGAAAATTCATTTCAAAATAACCTCCACATTAGACAAATTATTCAGAGGGATGGAATTCTAGTCAAAATAAAGAATAATAGTATTCATTTTATATGTACAGGATGCATATGTTGTAGTTTAAAATGTGTTACCGAAACTTTTCTTGCTGTCTTTATTCTCCACTATGATTTCTTCCCTTTTAGTTTTAAAGACTTACATTAGATATTTTTAAGGTATGCCATGTATTTTACAAATTATCTAGAATAATTTTCTCTCAAATACCATCTTACCATACTACCTAAAATATTAATGATAAACTACTTTGATGCTGATAGAAGAAAAAGAAAAAGTTGGATCCACATTTTCATATATGTGCCTAGAAAAAGTCTATATGGTTCAAAAAGTTAAATTGAAAAGGAAACTATGAAAAAAAAAAAACAACAGAAGAAAACACGGAATTACATCTCAATAGGGAAATCATCTTTCAACAGCTAATAGAGTGAGAAGAAAATCAGTGAGAACATGGAGTTCTCAAACTACGTTCTCAACCAGCCTAACCTGATTGATACGTACTGAACATGCCACCAGTAATAGCAGCATGCATATTTGCTTTGCAAGGACATTTAAAATATTCACCAAGACAGAAAATAATACTCTGAACCATAAAAGGAATTTCAACAAATACAAGGAATTGAAAAAATCATACGATGGTCTCTAACCACAGTGGAATTAAACAAGATGTGAACGACAGGGAGATATCTGGCTAACCTCCAAATCTTTGGATGAAAGGAGAAATCCCAAGGGAAATGAGAAACTATTTGTATTTCAGTGAAAATTGGAATGCAGACTATCAAATTTTTGGCTAACTCAGTATTTAAAAGGAAATTTATAACATTAAATGTTAATGTAACATAAATGGAAAAGCCTTAAGTCAATGATGTACGCTTCCACCTTAAGAAACTGAAAGAAGAGCAAATTAAACCCAAGGAAAGCAGGGAGATGGGAATGACTAATATGGACTCCTCCAGAAAAAGGGAAGCAATATGAATTCCTAATATTGGGAAAAAAGAGTCCATAGAACCTATGGACACTAAAAATTAAGAGA